CGATGGTGCGTCCCGAACCGCTGAGAGGGGCTCAACTGGACCAGCGACGGCGAAAATAAAATTTTGCGCGCGCTGAGAAGAAATATTGCAGTTTAAACGCTTACCGTAAAACCCCGCTAATTACACGTATCGCGCTCTCTGTAAACATTCCGACAGTTCAACAAACGTATATCATCCTCTTTCCTCTTGACTCCGAGTTTCGACTTTTCAGCCAGAAGTGGGTTTTAGACACAGACGGAAAACGCGAATGAACTCAAAATTCTAACGAGTACTAGCTCCATCAGATGCAATCATTAATTATTTTATCCGCGAGCGCCAGTCTGAAGGGAGGCCAAGCCCGCTACGTATGAATTTATTATTGTTTTCAGACGGAAATCCTACGAGTGCTGCTTCGCCTGATGTGATTTTTCCGAGTTTATTTTCACTACGAAATTTTTCTCACTCGCATCAAGAGTGCGGCATGCTCGAGGAGGTTAAAGAGACAAAGAGAGAGGTTGAAGAGAGCCTTTCTTATACGCACGACAAAAGAGAAGCAAAATTATACTGAGGGTGTATGGAAATAAGAGGCATGAAGGTATGCCTCGCCGAAAAAGAGCCTTCATTTATCAAGATAGGCAGGAAAACTACTCGGAATAAGGGCATCAATAATTGTGTGCAATTAGACATGACATCATACACGTAGGTAGAGCTTATGCGGAGATAAATGATGAATTAAAATGCGAGAAGGGAGCCATCTATTCAAGCTGAAGACATAGGCACAACGTGGTGTGACAAATAGCTTCACTATAATTGAACGCTCCTTGCGAATTTAAAGTTTGAACGATTTATCATGAGATATTTTGTCATTTGCCATGAAGCTCATTCTCATGCGGAACTTAAATTCGGCTAAAAAATAGAAAAACAACATTATAATAATAAAAAAATGACGAGGCTTTGTCGAATACTTACCAGCGGCCTTGTATCGACAAGCACTAGAGCTTCTTAAGTGACAGTCTATTACAGATTATGTATCTGGTCAAAATGAGATCCATGCGAAAATAATCTTCACATTATGAATTATTTAAAGAGCCAAGGCGTTGTATTAATCACCGATCACTTTATTTAACTTAAGCTTTTCGACTGTTGGTCATCATCAGGGATTTGAAGGATTCGATAGGACTTGAAGGGGGGAAAAGTTTTTTTAGACCGGAGTACCCCCTCCCCCTTAAAGAGGGAAATGATAGCCCATTCGAGACCCGTTCACGCGCGCGGCGCGTGGCATGAATGAGCTGGACAGGGGATCCTGGATCGCCGCATTCGCCGCCTAGTGTGCACCCAAAAACCAACGGCCTCATCGCCTCTCGCTCCGTCAACATCACAATAAAAAACACAGTGCGCCAATAATCAAGTGATGTTTACCGTGGGTGTCCGAGGAGGTAAGCGCGGCCGAAAACAGGCCGAGCGTGGACGCTAGTGCTTCCTCACAGAAAAACGATTTATTCTCATTGGTAGCATTAAAAGCATCGATATAATGGAGAATCCCTATGGTGACGTCACCACTAATAGCCTCTATGGACACCACCGCGGCCGCGGACGGCGATAGCTGCGGTGTGCCGTGCGTGTTGCTTCATTTCACGGCGCTGCATCGGCCTCCTTCCGCCGCATGATGAGCCTCTTTCAGCTCCTCACTTTTCCCGCCATTCTGCTTTACATTTCTTGGGTAAGCAAGAGTTGTGCTTTCAGTGCCTTTCATGCTTTGTTCTTACAGTTGGATGTATTTAAATCAAAAGGAACTATATCCGTTCTGACACGAGCCGTGAAATCCATAAGAATACACGGCTCATGTCACGATAGATATGGTTCCTTTCGCTTCAAATACATTCAGTTGTATTTTAATGGTCGCAATCAGTGGCGTGGCGTGAATTTCGATATATCGATTGTTGTACCATTTAAATCTATGGTAAAGAATCGATTATTAAGGTGTTCGCTGCGAACACCCTGTTTATCGATCCTTTTCCATACGTTTAAATGGCATAACAATCGATATATCGCAATTCACGCCACGCCACTGGTCGCAATAATGCTTTGCGATGGGTCTCTAAACAGGGTCTCCACTAGAAAAGAAGTAAGCCGAGAGCAACGTCACTTCATGAGATTATGTTGTTAACACAGTACTGTATTTCACTTTTTTGCCAATTGATATTAACTTAACTCCCATCTACAGAGACCGAGAATCTTGAAAGCAAAGCAAAATATACCAAACAAATCTTAAATGACAAAAAAAGTTAAGAAAACTCGATTTAGAAAGAGGTTGCATTTTTCTCTTGAAAACGACACGTATAGAACTATCTATGCGAGAGGAAGTTAGAAAATCATTCCAGAACTGGCATAGAGCGGAGCATCGCAAGCTCGCGCCTTCAATTTTGCAGATGCAACACGGATATTCAACAAGCACGAATAGTTGTATCTCTGCGCCGTAATCAACGTGCGTCTTTTTCCCCACTTTATCTCCATGCTGTGTTGGTTCCGTTTTCTTTTTTGTAGGGGTGCTTCAAGGGCTTTTTTACATTTCCTTTTGTAGTAATATGTATGAACTGTATATTTTTCCCATTCCTGCTTTAACTAATTACCTGATCCAAATATTTATAATCAAATTTAAAAACTTTTGAAAAGTACCAGACTAGTCTAAGACTAAAATAAAAAATTTAAAACTCACTAACCCTCAAACCCTCGGACTAAGGAGTTTTAAATATACTTATTCTACTTGTTAATAATCCATCAGTTTCACAATACATCCCGTGGACGTGAAACTCCTAGTTAGATTGTTTTGGATTGGTTAAAAATAATTTTACGTTGATTTCTGTAATCTGCATATGAGCTTCGTGGATTTTAATTTATTATATAGCTTTTCATCTGTCATTTTGATCCGTCAATCTATGTTCATTTGGGTTAGCGAAGGAAAATGTACTGTGGCAATTTAAACTAATCAACACACTGATGGTTCGAGAGCAACTATTTTATCTATAAAAAATATCTCATAATTACTTGGGTGAAGGATTTTGACCTCATATTTTTTGTAGATCAGTATGCAAAACTTCTAAAAATACTATGTCACTAGGATGAACAAATCGAAAATAAGTGTTATGCTACTCCCTAACTAAGCCTGAGGCTCATTGTTCCAGCCAGAAAAAAAACTGTTTACATTTATTTTCCATTTAAATATCGACGGAATCATCGTGTTAAAAATTATTTATTGGCGTCTTTATGGAGAATCACACCTGTTTCACTCAACCGTAAATTTTTTCAAGGCATGCTCTAATCGTTTCATTTTTTTCTGTTGTTGTGGGAGAGCGGGTTTTTTTCCATCTTACTCTCAGACCGACTCTTGTCTGAGCGAGCACTCGTGGCAGGTATAACAATACAGGCAGAATTGAGTGTCCAAAACTTCAGTTCGAATGAAACTGGCAAAAACAATTGTCAAATAAAATTGACTATCGAGTAAAATCCCCCTGGTAAAAATTGGCAGTAGGATCTGTGTTCCAAAATACCATAGACCTAAAGCCGGCTGTAAGATTTCCAATAGCTTCTATACCCGGCAACACAATTTCTTATAGCCTTTTATAGCCGATGGCGATTAAGCAACAGCCTGGCGATAAAGTGAATGCTAAACGTTACTAATTACGGATGCTAAGACTTAGTGAGTTTTTGGACTACCGCTCTCTTTTTGGGCCGCAGTATCTTGATTTAATTTGCGAGGAAAGCTCCGTTCTTTTGAAGGATGCCTGACATTCCTGACATTTGCTAAGATGTTGGAGCGCATTCAATTTCGTATGATCCTGTGCAATACCGCTGGTGTGAAATACTGAAATAGTTGCTTCAAGCGCCGCGGTACGCTGCGGCGCGGCGCGGCGGGCGGGCAGCCAGCGCTGAACGCGCATTGGCGCCTGCAAACCTAACAGGGATACTTCACGCATTGCGCAATGCGTGAAGTATCCCTGTTAGGTTTGTAGGCGCCGGTGCGCCGCCGCTCCGCTTTGTGTTAGGCTCTTATATTTAATCTCGTGGAGTCAGCGTTTTTCAACTCATGACTTTGAAATGTTTGCACACTCTGTATGGATTATTCTCATTTTGGTTGATGAAAAAAAATATGTAGTAAAGGAAAATATAATGTGCGTTTTGTAAATATTAAGGTGATTCCGTACAAACTTAAGGATTTGCAAAGCACAAAAATTTCTACTCAATTTCTTATAGCCTTTTATAGCCGATGGCGAAAAAGCAACAGCCAGGCGATAAAGTGTAAAGCCCGGCGATAGGAACTATAGCCCGGCTGTATAATTTTTTATCGCTTCGTGTAGCCCGGCCGTATGATTTTTTCCACTTTCTACAGCCAGCTATATGATTTTCTATCGCCCTCTTCAGTAGGCTATAAGAATTCCTATAGTATTTTGAAACGCAGCTCCTATCGCCAATTTTTACCAGGGCCCAAAACTTCTTTGATTTGATATTTCGAGTGTCAAACATTTCCAGCCTAACAGTAAAAAACACGCATCTCGAAATGCGACCGAGCAAAATTTCTCTCATTATTACAAAAAAATCTCGTTATTACATATCAACTGTGTAAGTCGGCAATCACCTAACTCGGTTTGCGACGTCGCAGACTTCCTGTTATACTTTATTTTTTAAACGGAAAACTACTCAACGGCAATTCTTTAAAACTGCGTTGATTTTTCTTCTCTGTGTGAAGAAAATTCTGCAAAAACTTCAGGGAATGATATCAATTTGTTCTTCTTAAAAAAAATAACATTGAGACGGAGATTTTCAGACACCGCAAACGAGTAATGTGATTGCCGACTTACACCGTCGATATATTTCTTAATTTTACCCCCTACCCTGCCATGAGTATTGAGTAAAAATATCAAATCATATATTCGTTAGATTTTTTTCTTAAACAAAATCCAATATGAAAGAAGATTTTAAACTCTGTAATTGAGTTGACACTTACTTAAGTCCTTGTGTTTCAGCATGTGGGCTGCGATGGAATTGTGGGTTCGGACAAGCGGTTGGACAGTTGCGGCGTTTGCGGCGGTGACAACAACTCCTGCAAAACAATCGCCGGCATCTTCACAAAACCGCACTTACCCAACGGCTACAACCTTATCACTCAAATACCCAAGGGCGCTTGCAACTTGACTGTTCTTAAACTCAAGCCCTCCAAAAATCATCTAGGTATGTACATAACATGAGTAGGCTTTCGCAAATTTCATGGTCAAGCAAAAATTCAAATAAGATTACTTCCAACTCCAAAATGTGCACACGATCGGGAAAATGAACGGCTATGGCAAAGAGCTGTTTTTGTCGCGAAGAAAAACCCTACAATGAAAAATCAAACAATGTCCGTCTTGGCCAGAAGAAATTCTTCACGACATGGGGAGCGTTCATAAATTACGTTGCACATTTACTCGGGATTTTTGACCTCCCCTCCCCCTGAATAACTGTTGTAACATGGGTCCCTATCCTGTAACACGTAAAAACAAAATAGCGTGACGCTCTATTCGACCTTCCTCCCTCCTTAAGGCGCCACGTAACGTATTGACGGCCTCATTTAAGCTCAAATTTTCACGACTAACATTACACTGCAGGTAATTGACACAAGGAGCAACAAAGTATTCACCTGTACAACGGGAACCTGCCATGGAAACGGTTCTCCGGTAAAAACGAATTTTTCAATGATTTTTCCAGAGTGAATTTTCTCAGTGCGTCGGACTCAGAGACAAAAGACCCTCCACTAGCCTCTTGGTGACAGGTGGAAGCTTTCACTTTTGGGGATTCAACAATTCCTCATGGATAATTATAAGAAAGCAACAGTCGTCACTCTTTTTTCGGCTGTTGACATACCTACATGGTGGATGATGAGCTCCGGGTGACGTCATGAGCCAAACAAGTTTCCCAAACTTCGGCCAAATTCGGCTTGTTTGCGGAACGAAACTACCAACACGTTGTTAAACATCAACCATGTAGGTAAGTCAACAGTAGAATGCTGAAGTCCCGAAAGTAAAAGCTTCCACCACGGCCAAGATACTAGTGGAGGGTCCCTTGTTTCTCATCAGATTTGAGCGCAATTATCGTCGTAGAGCGTTTCTTATTTTAAGAAGGGTCCCGAAATAAGCATCTGCATGAAGATTAAGAATTGAATGATTTTTTAAAACTGCTGTACATCTCTGATCAAGGTTTTCTCACCGTCTTTGGGTTTTTCATCAAACTTTTCTCTACTCGTCGATGCTTCGGGCTGGCCTCTCTTGAGTTGGTACTCCCAGAATAACCGCGGTGAAAGGTCATCAATCGGCGAATGGTTGGGATACTATGGCTCAGCCTCCCGCATTCGCCGCCGCACAGTGGATCGAATCGATTGGAGAGATCGGACGAAATTCGGAGATCTTAAAATATTATAACTCGATTTATACAAAACTTTAAGGTTTTAAAAGTGGCTCCATTGGTTTCCTCGTGAGATTTTCCTCTAGGAGCACCCCTTAAAATTTAACATGTGACGAAATCAACATCAAAATGTGGAATTTTAGTCAAATATGTCAGGTCTAAGCCTTCTGATCCACTGTGCGCCGGGGCGGAGATTGAAAACAATTTTCTGAATCGAGCGTCATAAATTGATTGAGGATATGTTATTAGCTCTGTCCTCAGTGACTCCTCCGTCTTAATTTCAAAGCTAGATCCGAGCGATGCCGATGCGACGGCCGCAGTGCCAGTCCCACCTTCCTCGTTTACTTCCATATGGACGTATTTCTGTCGAAAGGAAGTATGTGCATTATGACGTGAGCCCTGTTATGGATGTATCCTTATGGGTCTCAGGGCTCATGTCTAAATGCACATAGTTCCGTGTGATAGAAATACATGAGTGGCCATTTGCGATCCTCGCTCTCCCCGCTGCTTCAAATGCCGCAACTAATAAGATGGTTATAGCTCTTTTCTCATCGTAGCATTTATCAATGGATTTTAGCGCTTACAGATCAGAGATTCCTTACAAGACTCGAGCCAATCCTAAAAAAACCCTAAAAGGGTTTGTAACCTATAAAATTAATTATATTTATGTGTGGATTGAAAATTGCTGGATTTTCACCTTTATTTGAGATTTTCAATGACATGATGACCAGTAATTTTTGGTATATTTTTTCATATCATGCATGTAAAATTAGAAAAGATGCTTTGAATGTTTTTTTTTTTTTTTTTTTTACTTTTATCTTCTCATTTTGATTTTTCGTGACACGAATTTCTCCTTAGCTTTGCGGCGCCTTGATGGGACGTTTGTGGTAGATGGAAACTTCGCATTTACATCTCTGGAGGAGATCCAATCGTCAGGGACCAAGTTGACTCTGAAACAAGACACGCCCGACCAAGGCGAGATGATAACGAGCCCTGGCCCGCTCCTGGAGCCTCTCGAACTAATGGTGTGTTATCATCACATTAGGCTCTTTACTGACTAGCTACTAATTCCATTTATCTTTTTTTCTAATATTTTATTATGATCTCCTGCAGTTTCCAGAATTTTACACATTGCACATAAATTGAAATAGAACGGATGTTATGAACAACAGAGTAGTTAATATTTTACATATGTTATTTGCTACGTTGTGTTATACCTATTGGCTCAGACCTGGGTTCCCGCCAATTCTCAGGGCTGCACCACTGCACCCTCTCGGGGCGTCTCAGTTCCGAGAAACTGTCTAGTAATAAAATTGCCTCAGTATTAGGGTGGTTATTGAGATGGCGCTCATAGTGTATTGTTAGTTATATTGAGCAACTGTCTCTAAACACCATATTAATATATTGAGCAACTGTCTCTAAACACCAAAGTCCTTATGTATGTCCTTATTTCTCTCGTGCCAACGTGCACCTACTATTCCTCTCAGCGCACGATTTTGCACCCTCTGAACGATTTCAATATTTGAAGGAGCAGCGCATCCCCAGATCTGAGCCCTATAGGCCCAGGTTGGGCGTATTATCTGTTTACACACTGGAAAAAAACCACATTGGATCTAGAGTCCAGACTCTTGAAAACATTGACAAGAAAAAATACTCTTGATTCAATCGGATTTTTGCTTGAATCAAAACGAAATCCGATTAAATTAGGAGGTTTGGTTCTTGATTTAAGCTAGATTCTGATTGAATCAAAAGCACTTTTTCTTGTCGATGTTTTTAAGAGTCTGGACTCTAGATTCAATATGTTTTTTTTCCAGTGCACAAAAGGAGTTCAATGTCTGTACTGAAATTATATCTACGACCAATTAACCAATCTAATTTTTTTTATTTAAAGGTGCATTCATCCTTTTTTATCTTAATATGTTCTTTCCACTTGATTTTTGTGTCTATTTTTATCTTGTTTAAGAAAAAATACAATATCTGCACGGGAAAGAAGTTTTGAGGGCTATCCCCTAAAATTGTGGTACTACACCGATTTGTTGGATGATATTGGCATTTACTGGAATTGTACCGGCCATTGCTGCCCTTAGGCCACTGAAATTGCCATATCATTTAAGTCGAACTGATAAAATGAGCGCACATAATTTGGAAATGTTAGAAATTATGAATTAAACTACCGTAAATGATAACTTGCTTCTCGACCGTGCATGTTTCAGTTAGTATTTCAACAGCCCAACTCGGGCATTAAGTATGAGTACCAACTGAAAATGAATGGTGCCACAGAGGTTGCTCTTGAACGAGGTGACACATCTTACGCTTACGGCCCAGGTTGGTTATGTTCGGATTACCCTTACTTCATGTGTTGCATTATTCTTACGTGTTTATTAATTGGGGTATGTGCTCATACGTGAGAGGGTAATGCGGTATCATTGGAGTTTTTATTGATTTAATACAGATCCAATTACTTCAAAGATCTAAAAAATAATAACTCCTTAAAGTGGGGTAAGAAGATATTGACCGCATAACAGCGAAAGAGAGAGATGGGAAGGAAGGAGAAAAGATAGCGTATACTTGTGGAATCACGTGTGAAGGGTTGGATTTATATTTTTAATTTCTTTTTCTTTCGACTGAAAAGCCATTAAGGAGGTGAGGTTTTTAGCATGGGTTCTTCATCAAGGAAAAAATTTCGATACTACCAGAGGATGAGAAAAAGAACAAAAGGAAAGTATCTATCATTCAATTTGATGAGGCCAAAACTTTGTGTCCTGTAGATGATTATTGCCTGATGTAATTCGAACTCGTTTTTCTAAAGGAAAAAAAAACCATTGTTATGAACATGTATTTTTTTTACATAATCCAATCGTCCCACACTTTTTCATTAATCTCTGAGATTTCTTATGTATTTTTTATATTTTACAGCTGATGACATATCCTCTCATGAAAGAAACATCGGAAATAGTTACAGGTAATGATGTGCAGTTCCTCGTACTTTTCCAATTATACAATCACTAGGGGCCTGTGACTTCAACACCCCTCGACGCTCCGCGCAAAGGGGTAGCGAGAAACTTGCCCACGCCTTGCCGGACACCCACTTCTTACACACGGATTTTCCGTGACTGAAAACATCAAAATTGCGAAACAGCAACGCACAGTAGAACGAGCCAATCGGCGCAGTCGGACATGAAGTTTGCAGTTAAACTGGCATTTTGATGTTAGATTCGTCTTAAGGACCAGTAGATGAGGTGCAATGAAGGATAACCATCATTATTTAATGATGGGGAAGTTAACAGAGGGCAAGGAAATCTCCCCGATCTTTCGAGGATTGCAGGCTCGCGTTGTAAACTGGTTGTATATATTGTGTCCACCGTAAAAGGTCTGAAGTCTGATTACAAAGATTAAAGCGCGCACCGTGCTGTGCATGCAATGCGTGAAGTATTCATGTAGCCTTGCAGGCGCTAGTAGGCGTTTAACGCCGCAAGCACCGCGCCGGCCGCACTGTTTGGCGCAATTATTTGAACTCGGGTTAGAATAATCGCGACATCGAATGATGGGCCTTAAAAAGTCCATGTTGTGTTTAGACGCCATATGGGCATTAAGATATTGAATGTACAGGGTGTTTCAGACCACCCGTACCAGGCCTTTTTCTCAGTTGGCATAGGTCGTACGAAGTCGGAGACCGCGGGGTTGAATAGGGAATTGACCCCAAAAAATCCGAATTTCGTGGTCCCGAAACCCCCCCACCCCCCCTTGGGGGGTAACGGGGGGGTCACGATGCTAAAAGTCACGGTTCTCGACCGAATTGCGGATAGATCGCATCATAATTGAAAAGCACGGAAAATTTCACGTGGAATTGACCCCTAAAAATCCAAAATCGGACCATCCAAGGCCCAAAAATGATCCTCTAAAGAGGGGGACAGTACCCCCCTCCATAATTTCTCTTTGGTCTCAAAATTGACGTAAATTCTCCAGAAAAAGACGGTTTCCCAGGTAATCGACCTCGAGAAATCCAAATTTCATGGTCCCGAAGCTCCTCTAGCCCCCCTCGGGGGTTAAACTGGGGGGCCCAATTTTAAAAATCGAGGCTCCTTTCCGAATCGCAAACTGATTGCATCCAAATTGAGGAGCAGAACACATTTACATCTTAAGTGACTCCTAAGAGTTCTAATAGACCCCCTGAACGGCAGAAAGTAACTCCCTGAGGAGGGGGGCTTCACCCCCGCCAAAAATTTCTCAAGAATCCTCTTTGGTCGCAAAATTGACGTCGATTCTCCAGAAAAAGACGGTCTCCCATGTAATCGACCCCGAGGAGCTCAAGGAACATGAAATTTAGAGTCCTCGGGGTCGATTACATGGGAGACCGTCTTTTTCTGGAGAATCGACGTCAATTTTGCGACCAAAGAGGATTCTTGAGAAATTTTTGGCGGGGGTGAAGCCCCCCTCCTCAGGGAGTTACTTTCTGCCGTTCAGGGGGTCTATTAGAACTCTTAGGAGTCACTTAAGATGTAAATGTGTTCTGCTCCTCAATTTGGATGCAATCAGTTTGCGATTCGGAAAGGAGCCTCGATTTTTAAAATTGGGCCCCCCAGTTTAACCCCCGAGGGGGGCTAGAGGAGCTTCGGGACCATGAAATTTGGATTTCTCGAGGTCGATTACCTGGGAAACCGTCTTTTTCTGGAGAATTTACGTCAATTTTGAGACCAAAGAGAAATTATGGAGGGGGGGTACTGTCCCCCTCTTTAGAGGGTCATTTTTGGGCCTTGGATGGTCCGATTTTGGATTTTTAGGGGTCAATTCCACGTGAAATTTTCCGTGCTTTTCAATTATGATGCGATCTATCCGCAATTCGGTCGAGAACCGTGACTTTTAGCATCGTGACCCCCCCGTTACCCCCCAAGGGTGGGGTGGGGGGGTTTCGGGACCACGAAATTCGGATTTTTTGGGGTCAATTCCCTATCCAACCCCGCGGTCTCCGACTTCGTACGACCTATACCAACTGAGAAAAAGGCCAGGTACGGGTGGTCTGAAACACCCTGTATAGATAATCGTAACTCCTAAATTTTATTTCATACATGTTTCATACATTTTTATTTCAACCTAACCTGCACCTTGTGTGGAAGATATACAGTTGAAGTTCCCGTACTTATTTTTTCCTCCTATGCAGTAAGTATTTGCTTTTTGGAGAGGGAGGGAGATAGAGAGAGGGGGGGAGGGAGGGGGAGAGGGATGCAATGATAACAGAGAATGTTAAAAACGGTTGAGCGTTTGAGAAAATTTCATGGTGGCCATAGTATTATGTGATAATAATAATCGTTAGCAGTACTTTGTTCTGACATTTTCTACCTATTTTCACAGTGACAATGCAGCTAAATCGGAAGGGACTTTGGATGACGAGGCAACTAAATCCGAGGGCAAAAGACGCAAAAAGAAATTCTATTGGAAAATCAGTGGTTTTTCGGAATGCTCAATGTCGTGTGCCGGAGGTACAACACATTTATTTTGCTTACTGCCTTGATACATTAAAATTGATTATGCGCACTAATGTAATGATGTGAATGATAATTCCTTATTTAAAATCAATTCCATCTCGATTAAGTGTGGGTGCAACAACAACAAATAGCGGAAGGGCCAGGAGGATAGGATCATATCCACCATTTAGATGCATCGAAAAGTGGGCGAAACCTACAGGTCCACGTCCCTCTAGAGAGACAGATCAATAAAGGCAAATAAGTCATAAGGTAAACGGCCTACCTGATGAAAAAATGAGACAAGTAAAGAGGACGACCATAGGTCAGGTGGATGGTCCAAAAGGTGAGCAAACTGAGCGGAGGAACTCCTCTCCTTTGCATGGCAATATGTGTGTGTCAATTAATTGATACTTCCTCAAATGTAAGGAGTAGGTCCTCAGGATAGGCAACGACATTCAGAATACAGCCAATAGGTGGATAGGACTTAATAAACTTCGATGTGGGGTTGGGTTGCATCGATAACTTTGAAGGCGGAGAAGCAGCGATTTCGTTTCCCAGCGAGTCGGCGCGCTCAAAATGACACGCTGTAAGTTAGTATCACAGTTATCCTTATTTTTCGATGCGGAAAATTTGTAGTTTAGGGATAAAAACCGTGCTGTCTTGCTAAGGAAAAAGCCCTCAAACCTTAAGCTGTTGCCAACTTTCCTTTGATGTCATAAGTATCAAATTCTATAAAGAAATTTCGAATTTTTTTCTTCCTATTTTTAAGTGAAGCTTACTCGCAATTTGATCTAAATCATCTGAAACTCTCAAGGAAAAATATTCATAACTTGCACAATGTGCGAATGCAAATGAGGCACTGGATGCGAAAATGGCACTTCTCGGTTGCAGTGTTTCAGAGTCTCCTCTAATATTTCATTCATTAAGTAAGGAAAGTGAATGCATCCATTTCACTAAAAATTCTACTGAATATTTGGTATGATTCTACAATTTCCTACGGAAAGAATTCTGGCAAAATCATTGATTGAATTCTTCTCCAAGGGATTAATTAGCAACAGAGATTCTGAAACACCGCAATCGAGAAGTGCCCTTTTCTCATCCAGTGCCTCAAATGTGCAAACTCATTTGCATCTACAACTTTTTCTTCGTCTTCTTCTTCTTCTTCTTCTTCTTCTTCTTCTTCTTCTTCTTCTTATTTTTTGCGCGCGCTTGTGTGTGTTTTTATATCGTATATTGAAGAGTATGCCGGCTGAAACCGGCCTAGACAACGCGTCATTATACTGGATTGATTTAATAAACTGATCAGCTTGTCGTGCATGCCAAAAAAAAATGGCCTTAATATTCTGGCAATGACTCTTTCATAACTTATTTACTGGTTTTTTCGTTTTAAGGTGTTCAAACAGCAATCAACGTTTGTGTCAGGGAGAGCAATTCAATGACAGCACCTGATAAAAGATGCACCGGATTGGAGTTACCTCAGCCCCAAACTCAACGGTGCAACGTTAAACCTTGCCCTGCTGAGTGAGTATATTATAAGTAGCATATTATATGTATTCTAAATACACTAAAACAGATCCGGCTGAGTGATACCACTATTCAGGCTCGGAGGGAGCTTATTTTGCCTATCATACCAATTGAAGGCGAAATTGGATTCCAGCTCGCCCTGATAACTGATGAGTGTCATGTCACGGTCGGCGTGTCGAATCCCGATCAAGCTTTTTAAACTGGTTGTGAGTCTTCCTAACAATTTTATAATAAATTAATATATTAAGTATTCTTTTATTATATTATATATTATTATAGTATGTTTTTTATTCTTTATTAATAATTAATACATTGTCAGATGGGAAGCTGGAGAGTGGGGTGACTGTTCCGCGTCTTGCGGGGAGGGCGTCCGGAAGCGGAAACTGGTTTGTCGGCAACGGATCACAGCCTCGCTGACGATGACAGTTTCTGATGGCGCTTGTCTCTCATCCCCGTCGAGGAATTTCACATTAGAGCAACCATGCGCTCTCTTCCCGTGCCCCATCCACTCGGCCAAAGCGGAGGACACTGAGCCACGGATCAAGGCTTCTTGGCGGACGGAGCCTTGGAGTAAGGTGAGATGGACCATCGCCAATATTCCCTCCACACTTTCCACCTCAGAACTGTGAATTTTTTAATCATACCTCGCAAACTACACTGTTGAAAATCTTTCGGGAAACCCGGGGTGAAATGCAGAGTAACCTGAGATGCGGAGTGAAAATCACTCCGTCGAGGAGTTTGGAACTCCCCATGAAAGTGAATTGCCGAGATAGCGCGACGATATCGCTGCAGCGAATCAATTGGTAACTCGCCGCTTTTACCTCGAGTGATTTTCACTCTGAGCAAAGGGAGCAAATTTCTGACAGTGTAGGCTGACGTAATCATCGATAAAAAGCTAATCATTTTCCACTAACTTGTATTAGTCGCATTATGATGTTACTATAAATTTTCATGAATAAATTATCGAAGCCATTCAATTTAAAAATTCTAAAAAGTCGGATAATACCCTTAATACAAAGAGGGTTATTCAAAATCGGCGATTTTACCCTACGCTTGGATTTTGCCCGGAGTTGGATATGTTGTTCCCTATCACAAGACACGCCTTATTCCGGCATTGGCAAGTTCACCCGAAATTTTTCCTGCGCGCTACAGCGTTGCCAAGTTGAAAACAGGCAAATTCCGTAAGTGGCATTAAAATTGAGCTATGAAGTTGCGGTTTTAACGAAAATTCTCTAAAAATTACGCACTTTTAGGAAATGACCATGTTTTTAATGTCGCATTAATTTTAACATGCATTATTGCCAAATTTCCGATTTTTAAATTCGACAAATGTTACATATCCGCAAATACCCAAAAAAGCTATCTTCAAATTTGAATAAAAAATTGTCTAATCGATAGTTCGTTCGATTCCGCATCCATCGATATATTATAGCTCGCTGGGAAACTTTTGGTTCGCGAGATATCATCATTTTTGTGAACAGCTTTATGGAGCGACGACGCTTTTTGAGTCCGGGCGGATAGAAATTTTAGCCTCCAAAAACACCGGGTAGCATTAATTCCATGGTTTCCTATGTAATTTTTGGCGCTGAATCCGAATTTGACCATTTCATAAAAAAATTGTCACCAAGATGTTGCCAAATTTGGCAAAAATTGCTTAAAATCGGCCTTTTTGGCGGATTGTAGCCTGTGACTTGCCAGGAGTTGATCAGACGACAAAATTGGTTATTTCCACAGTTAAAACTCGTTAAACTATCTACAAGCTGAGTCAAATTCTTTCTGCTCACGGTAAAATTAAACGCGCGACAAGCAGCAAACTGAAAAAAAGACACCAAAATTGGCGCTTTTTGCGGTTTTTGTCGTAAGTTTCTTGTTTTCCGATTAAGAGAAAATTAGGAAAAATCCTAATTACGCCGAGTGTAACGACAAACTATTGTATTGTTACATATATAGATAAAGAGCCGCTTTAACAGCGGTCTCTCGGGCCCCGCGACGCCTAACCGCCATAGTCCCTTGTCCACCCACAGGTCCTCAGTAATTTGGAGCGCCCTTGTTCCTTTTTAAGCCCCTTATTGTCCTTTCCTGGGCGTCTTCTTCAGTTTGGTGTCGTTACTTTTTTCTATTAAACTCCATTATCTCAGAATTATAAAATAAAATTGTATACTAAATATAGGGTAATGAATAATAACGGTCAAATACCGCCAAAATTCAACGATTTGTACGTAATTTTGGCAATATTGCAATGCGTCTTGTCTTGTTTTAATGAAGTCAGTCTGAGGAGTACATTTTATTCATTAATTTTTAGCAGAAAATTTTCCATTATTGTTTCAAAATGTGGTTTATTGACACGATTCGATAAAACTCACTATTTTATGAATTTTTCCTCTCTGAACTAAATACCCTAGTTATTAGTATATATCTAAGTTGAAAATTAAATTATTCTACAGAAGTGTATTATTTTGCAAGAGAGATACATTTATAAAATTTAAAAATAAGAGGTGAACAAAGAATATAGGACAATAATATCGAAAAAACCAGCGAAAATTAAAGTATTTTGTTTAAGCTTGGCAACATTGGAATATGTTCGATCTTATTTTATTGTTCAATTTTATTAAATTCTGCTCATGTTGTTCATTAGTATAGTCAAGAAACATTCTCTTAATCGGAAAACAAGAAACTTACGACAAAAACCGCAAAAAGCGCCAATTTTGGTGTCTTTTTTTCAGTTTGCTGCTTGTCGCGCGTTTAATTTTACCGTGAGCAGAAAGAATTTGACTCAGCTTGTAGATAGTTTAACGAGTTTTAACTGTGGAAATAACCAATTTTGTCGTCTGATCAACTCCTGGCAAGTCACAGGCTATAATCCGCCAAAAAGGCCGATTTTAAGCAATTTTTGCCAAATTTGGCAACATCTTGGTGACAATTTTTTTATGAAATGGTCAAATTCGGATTCAGCGCCAAAAATTACATAGGAAACCATGGAATTAATGCTACCCGGTGTTTTTGGAGGCTAAAATTTCTATCCGCCCGGACTCAAAAAGCGTCGTCGCTCCATAAAGCTGTTCACAAAAATGATGATATCTCGCGAACCAAAAGTTTCCCAGCGAGCTATAATATATCGATGGATGCGGAATCGAACGAACTATCGATTAGACAATTTTTTATTCAAATTTGAAGATAGCTTTTTTGGGTATTTGCGGATATGTAACATTTGTCGAATTTAAAAATCGGAAATTTGGCAATAATGCATGTTAAAATTAATGCGACATTAAAAACATGGTCATTTCCTAAAAGTGCGTAATTTTTAGAGAATTTTCGTTAAAACCGCAACTTCATAGCTCAATTTTAATGCCACTTACGGAATTTGCCTGTTTTCAACTTGGCAACGCTGTAGCGCGCGGGAAAAATTTCGGGTGAACTTGCCAATGCCGGAATAAGGCGTGTCTTGTGATAGGGAACAACATATCCAACTCCGGGCAAAATCCAAGCGTAGGGTAAAATCGCCGATTTTGAATAACCCTCTTTGTGACTGAAAAAAATTCATTTGTACTACATTAAACTCAACCTCAGTCCTATCCCTGCCGCGGCCATTACATAGGCGGATCCGGGGAGAGGGGTGCGTAGACCCCTGACCCCCCCTCCCCCCGTTCGTCCAAAAATAAAGATAAAGGAAAAGAGAACAAAAAAGAAGGGAGGAACTGAGGAAACAAGAAGGAAGGACGCATAAATTTGGTAATTATTCATGACGAAATTGACTCATGAAACTGCATGTAAGACGCTTTAAAAGTTTGAACATTTTCTGAGGGGAGCGCCCCGGACCTCGGGGGTCATTTAGGTTACTCTTCTTCTTCTTCTTCTTCTTCTTCAATTTGTTTTAATAATGTGGATTAGTGGATTGATTATTTTTAGCTGACAAAATCTCATGCTCTGATTGTATTTTCTCGCAGTGCTCGACACAGTGCGGTCTAGGCATTCGAACCCGAACGGTGGTTTGCCAAGCAGTGAACGGCCAACAGTGTCTGCAAAGCACCCGCCCTCAAAATCAAGAAGTTTGCGACATGGGTCCGTGCAGCTCCGAAACACCGTCTTGGTTCATTGCCGAATGGTCCCAAAAGGTGAGATTGCAATCTTCCCGACAGTTGTGCGAGTTGTTTAGCCTAATTTTGAAACGGCTTGCTTATATATGATGAAACTGCAAAAACACGAATTTAGATTTGCGAGGTTGACTGCCTAGCATTATTTATTTTTTTTTAATGGAAAAATACTACACGTCATCTCTTAAAAACTTTCCCGATTTTATTCTTTTCCTCTATATGATAAATATTCTGTACAATTTGCAAGCAAAAATCAACAAAATGAGTTACACGTGTCAGAAAAATAAACAATCTGCAATGCAAAACGAATTGCAACTTATTTGAATAGCATTGCTGTGAATTTCAACCAGGGGGTGCGCCGGTGCGCCCCTTGACAGCTTGGCGTCGCACGCTTCATACGTTACTCTTTTGGTTTTATATTATACACTGAAAAAAAAAAAAAACGCATTGGATCTAGAGTCCAGACTCTTAAAAACATCGACAAGAAAAAATACTCTTGATTCAATCAGATTTAAGCTTAGATCAAGAACCAAGTCTCTTAATTTGAGCGGATTTCCTTTTGATTTAAGCTTAAATCTGATTGAATTAAGAGTATTTTTTCTTGTCAACTGAGATAAGAGGAGCTCCTTCAAGCAGTGAGTAGGCAACATACACAACACCCCAATACAATAAGAATAAAATCGAGAACTCCAATCTGTGCTACTTGGGAAGATAATTAAGAATAATGAAGGTATCAGCTGAATATTGAATTTGCTATATTTTTCTATTGTAGTGTTCGGTCGAGTGCGGCGTTGGTGTGCAAACAAGGAAAGTGTTGTGCTCAGCGGGCCTTGGAAAAGACTCCCAGTGTGACATATCCTCCAAGCCAGAAACCTCTCGAACTTGTTCCAGCGATAAATCCTGTGATGGCCAATGGTTCGCTGGACCTTGGTCTGAGGTAAAATTACACATTAAACTGAGAAAACAGTAATTACTGAGGTGCTTATACACCCAGGTATTTAAATTTTGTGGAAAGCAGCCCCAACAAATGCATGCATTCACCAGTACACATGTATACACGTGTGAAAGCTCGCAAACTGCAGTTTGTGAGCTCTCACACGTCAAAAAGGCACTTAAGTCACATCGAGTTATCGGTGCTTTGGAGTTTTTGAATGTAGCTTCCACGATTCGTTGCCCCTCTGACGCAAGAGCGTGTCACAATTCCCACGTGAGCTCTGTTTCGCATATAAACCCATGAGCCTGTGTCACACCATCATAATACTCCATCAAAATGCCAAGGTCAAGTGCTGTGATTGGTCCAAGTCATCGAATAAGCCAATCACAACACCTGACCTTGATATTGTGATGGCTAGCTTTGATAGTGTGACACAGGCTATGCTTTCTGGGGCTCGAGTGGAAATCTAGATGTGCCATTGCGTCAGAAAAGCGACAAATTGGGCACCGCGTCGCAATTTGGAAATACAGTTAATGTTTTTCCTTAAAAAAGTAAAAAAAAAAGTAAAAGAAAGCAAGAAAAAAACAGCTTGGGTTTTGAATTGCAATGGACATACTTATGCGTTTTGAGATATATACTGTTGATTTAGATAGGTTTGTATATTGTACACCAGGGCCGGATTTAGGGGATGGCCGTATGGACCGCGGCCCATGGCGGAAAATTTAGGGGGCGGCAAATTTCGCAATTTTTTTAATGTAGGTATGGAAAAAAATCGAATTCAGAAAGAAAAACTTACAAACGAGAAAAGGCGAAACAATCTCTCATGTCCTGAAAGTACAGTAATTTTTAATTTTTTTCATCTGTCGGTGATACTAGAGACAGCACCTTTAATTAGTCGAGTTTAGAGAGGAACCAAACACTCAATTTTACCTGGAACGGCGCGGCGCAGAGAGCAATGATAACGAGGACTTGAGATGAAAAGGAGAAGCCCGCGGCGCGGCGGTCGGCATGTAGCACATATTAGCGCCTACAAGACTCCATGAATACTTCACGCATTGCGTTAAACATAGTGCGTTCAGACGCGGTCGGTGTGAAACGCAAAGCGCCTACATGACTGTTGTAGGAATGCTTCACGCATTGCGCCAAATACAGTGCAGTCAGTTTGTTCTTAATTTTTTCGTTCATTTCTTACATGGAAGGCCTTGTTCACACAGAGATAGGTTTACGGAACTTAACTTTCGCTCAAAGTTCCGTAAACTTTTGCTGGTAATGTTGACAGGGCTTTGCAAAAAATGTGTCCAACGCGAGTAAACGCGTCTTATGCACCCCTCTCCGCTGCACGTTCACTTGATGGTTTTTATTATTGTTTCAAAACGAATGAGCAGGGGGCGGCAAAATACAGGCGGCCCATAAGCGGCAAGTAGGTAAATCCGGCCCTGTTGTACACTGTCATAAATCAAGAAAAAAACACCTAACGTGACATGAAACCCTTCCATAAAATATTCTCGTCCCTATCGCTGCATTGTCCCTTCATGCATTGATTAGTCAGGCTATTATTTCAATACATTTTTTTGAAGTTTACTGCTTGATCTCATAAAATTGTCTTCCCATCGCAGTGTTCCGAAACTTGTGGATGGGGAGTGCAGACCCGACGAATTGCTTGCTTAGCGTATCAGCGAGGAGAATTCTCCATTGCCAAAGATTCAAGTTGCTCCAACAGTTCGAGGCCGACCAAAGAACAAAGTTGCAGGGAAAAACCTTGTTCCCCACAGTGGTACACTGCTGACTGGATGCCGGTAAGATTCTCTCGTTTCGGTCTCTACTAATTAGATTCATCACCCAGAGGAGCATCTTCCACTTTGACCCTAGATGTTGCGAGTGCAATATTATTAGACGGCTACTATGGACGTAAGAACTAAGTAATACAGAATTTAAAACAATTATTCAGATATTATTTTTTTCATTTTGAAAATGATATTTTAGTCTTAAGATAGAGTACCTATGTAACGATGGTTGGCGAACCTATGAAATCATGTGACTCGGTTTGCGACGTTACAAACGTCCTACCTTTATTCTTCTTGAATAATAATAATAATTGATTAATGAATTATTGCGCAAAATTTCATGTGATTTAAATTTTTCATTTATTTTTTTTCTTGTTTTGCTCTTGCTAGAATATTCTCTGAATATTTCGTGCAAAAAGGTCCACTTATAGGTATCTCTTAAAAAATGAACAGAGGAGGAAATATCGAGACACCGCAATCCGGATGCGTGTATTTTTAAGCGCACAATTAACAGTCGTTTTTTGACAAAACAATAGAGAGAGCAGAACTAACAAAAGGGGGACAATAGGGGCATGGATGTTGCGCTTGCGCACGGTACTGTTTCGCCTTCCATCTCCGAGGTAGGCCAGAAAACATACTCAACACAGCAGTAGTCGTCTTTTCAAAATTTAATTTATGTGGGCTGACAATGATTTTGATAGAAACACGCAGGTCGCACTTTGAGAAAAGGAAAAATGAGTTAGTAGTGGTTTTGAATTCAATTAGTTGTTTTTCTCCTGTCAAAAATCCGAAGTCGAGAAATGATATTTTGATTTGAACAATAAAATAAGTCTTGGATACACGCTCAAATTTCCATCAATTTCCGATCAAATAGTGACTGGTGCACACTGGTGACTGGTGCGGTCAAATTTTTTCAGCCTGCAAAAATTTGACCGCCATTTTTGTTATCATTTTGATCGGAAATTGACGGAAATTTGAGCGTGTATCCAGGCCTATAACAGGGTATCTGTTCATTTGGCTACGGCTCGTGGTTTTCAAACTTTAATCGAACGATTTTGATGCCAGCTATACAGTTTTTCCATTTAAGTTTGAAAATTTTTTGGGGAAGCAGAGCTTCCCTTCAATGTTTATGCAGAAAGCACAATAACTGCACGATTTTTAAATTTTCTCATCTATCATGCATCAGCCAAATAATGGCTTTGAAACGATTTTGAACTATGATTTTGTGTTGACGACAGTGCTCCCAATCCTGCGGGACAGGCGTACAACGAAGAGAGCTTCACTGCCTGGACGAAAAAGGCAAAGTATCCAGTGACTGTCTTGAGGACTTAAAGCCCAGCTCTCGCCGTTCCTGCAGCACTCACAGCTGCCCACCTGACAAGTCCAGTCTCATCAAACTCAACGGTAAGCAGACTTTACCGTTTACCGTCCACCCTCTGACAGAGTGACATGAAACGTAAGATAGAAATAAAAGATTGGAAATTTCAGCGAAATATTTCATGAAATTTCACGAGACTGTGAATATTTCATATTTTTCAGGGGTTAGAGTATGCAACCCGCACCAAAACACCCCAAAATAGAAGAAAATCACAATTTTTACATTTGGCGAAACATAGAAAGGAACCGGTATTTTTCAATATATTTCAGAAATTTCTGAAATTTCATAGAATATTTCACGTGAAATTTCAAGATTTTATTTTTCATGAAATTTTGTCACCCTGGCCTTTGACTCACAGGGAGCGCCGCGCCGTCAAAAATTCGGATCCACGGCAAATATACACCTCAAATTGACAACTTTTGCAACAGGCTAAAGTTTTCCGACAGGTTGGAAGGCGACAATCGAAAATTCTTCATGGGAATGTCAAATATTCATACACTCGTGAAAATCAAGATGAAAATGACTAGCCTGTTCGAGTAATATTTCCATTATTAGGTGGGGAGGGGAGGGGGGTTAGATTAGGTCACATGAGTGTTGTTAAGATATGGATTTGGGGCTCATTGTATTTGCCCGCACGAGCAAAATATACTCACTCGGCAAAAAGTAAGTAGGTAGTAGTAGTAGTATTAGTAGTAGTGGTAGTAGAATGGATTTATTTTTACGAGGTGCCTTAACATCGGAGGCTATGTACACAAAATAAGGAGGAAGATAAGAGAAAGCAGAAGAAAAAAGAAAAAGGAGAGATGAGATATTAAAGAAATGAGAAAGAAGGAGAAAAAAAGAGAGAGAGGAAGGATAAGGAAGAAGACAAAAATAGGATGAAGAAAAGAAAAAGAAAAAGAGGAAGGAAATAATATGTAGAAAAGGGATAGAATAAGAAGAAGAAGAGGATAAAGAAAAAGAGGGAGAGTGGAATAAAAAAGAAGAGGAATAATGAAGGAATGAAGTAATAAAGGAAGAAAACTATAGGTAATTTATGGTGAATTATAAAGACCGGTGATTTCAGTTGCAGGCCTCTCGCTAGTATGTAATACTTACCTGTCTAATTTTCTCTATGATCAACTATTTCAGCTTGCTCTATTTTTATTTCACTTCCAGAAACATCTCTACCTACCTTAAATGACAAGATGAGTAGTCTTGGTGATCAAGCATTCAACACGGTCGACAACAGTCTAGGTAGGTATATACATCTACAAAATATTTATGATATTTCATGATGTACTCATTAGCAAATTAAACTGAAGGATTACGTAGGTAACAATTATGTAAATATTTCGATATTTCTGACTGTTCGCAATTACGAATCGCTACAAGTATAAACATTGAAGCAACATCGTCCCAAGTGGAACAGGATGAAATTAATTGCAAATTTTATTGCAAAAAATTAGGTGCATGGAGAAATTTTTGCTACTGCATTTGCGCATTGTTTATGTTGCCTACCTATTAATTGAAGGAACATCACTCATTGAAATTTATTCCATAAAATTGAAATAAGTTGTAATATTTGATACATTGCAAAGTAACTACCTTCCCAATGCAGGGACAGGGCCGGATTACGGGGGCGGCCACATGGGCCACAGCCTATGGCAGCAAATTTTGCAATTTTTTAAATGTAGGTATAAAAAAAATCGGATTCAGAAAAAAAAATTATCAATGAGGAAAGGGGAGAAAATCTCTCTTTCCTGAGAGTATAGTGATTTCTAATTTTGTCGTTTTTCGGTGATACAAGAGACAGCATCTTTAATTAATTGAGTTAAGATAGGAACTCCAGGCCAATGTGACCTGGAGCTCAGCGTAGAGAGGAATGACGACGAGGACTTGAGATGAAAAGGACAAGCCCTCGGCTTGGCGCGCGGCGGTCGGCATGTAACTTTGCATGTAACACATATTAGCGCCTACAAGACTGCATGAATACTTCACCCATTGCGCCAAACACAGTGCGGTCAGGAGCTGGAGCAGTTGGCGTGAAACGCATAGCGCCTACAAGACTGCAGGAATACTTCACGCATTGCGCCAAACACAGTGGGTTCAGGAGCTGGAGCGGTTGGCATGAAACGCATAGCGCCTACTAGACTGCAGGAATACCTCACGCATTGCGCCAAACACAGTGCAATCAGCGCGGCGCAACGGTGGGGGTTAAAATTATTAAACCGCATTTATGTTCGTTCTTTCATTAATTTTGGTTCATTTCTCATCAGTGGAGGACCTTGTCCACACAGATAGGTGTCCACAGAGATAGGTTTACGGAACTTAAGTTTCTCGCGAAGTTCCGTGAAATTTTGCTAGTAGTGTTGACAAGGCTTTCGCAAAAAATGTATCCAAAACGAGTAGCTAAACGCGTCTTATGCACCCCTCCCCCTCCGGCACGTTCACTTAATGGTTTTTATTGCAGTTCCAAAATGAATGAGAGGGGGCTGCAAAATACAGGCGGCCTATGGGCGGCAAGTAGGTAAATCCGGCCCTGTGCAGGGAAAATATTTTACTGATAGAGATTGACATTATTAGACTAAAGGATGTTAAAATATTGCAATTTCTTGATAAAAAATTGCAATTTTATTCCATTGAATTACAAAATCATTTTAATATTTTTGGTGCACTATGCTACTTGAGTGGCTGGCTGCGGATGAATAAGCACCATACAAGGCGTTACATACATTTAATGTTATGTTGTCTGAGATACCAGCCATATGAACCAGGGATTGCTCTATTCTGATCGTGGATTGTATTTTTGTTGTAAATATACATCATGTTCCGCCCCATACATCTTTATTATTTCAAATTATTATGTGGATTTATTTAAGATCAATCAAAATTCTTCTTTTAGGTATATATGTCGCAGGCAGTCAGCAATCGCCGGCAATTTGCAAGCTCCGTGCTTTTCAATTTGTCAAATTGCAATTACAGTAACATCCATTTAGTAAAAGTTTCTTTAGCGAAGAAGTTCAAGGCACGACCTCAGCTTGAAACGCCTTCAAATCCAGCGATACTCTCCGCTTTGCCAAGGAGTTAATTTAGTTGCTTAACCAAACCAAACCCAACGCAGATTATTGATTACATTTCACGAACTCGCGAGTGTGCCAGCTGGTACCATGCATTCAAGAAGAAGGGGATAACGTATGATTGAATTCAAAGCATAATAATCACTACTTCCTATCTCGTTTTTTCACTTTGAAAGTTTTTAATTTGTTGATTCAACACGAGTAGATTGCGATTTTCCGGCGATTGCTAATTGCCTGCGACATATAGATGGCTTGAGTCGAAACAAGCACACTTCAGATTATGTTCATCTTCATAATTTAGGGATACCTACTGATGAAACTCGAGTACCACTTTCACAAAAGTATGTGAAATTAAAACTAATTTTCTTTTTCAGAGCAAACGGAAGATTGCAGAAATCTATTTCGAAACTGTTACCTGGTGGTTCAAGCACGTCTATGTAAATACAAATACTACCGTTCATCATGTTGCTTAGCTTGTAAAGGAAAAACTTGATTTGTATCAAAACATTATACTGTTGATATAAATACAGTTTTAAAGTAATGAACAATTCAAATTTCATTGAATGCACTTCCTCATAAACTTTTCCTTTCCACTAATTTTTCTTTTCTTTTTTTTTAGAGAATCTAATTTTAAGTTAATAATTTGAATAGATTACTCTCGCAGATTTTTGGTCCCTCATTTTCTTTAAATTAGCCGGTGTGTTTTTTACTATGCATGTTAGGGTTAATACCCAAAACGAGGGCAAAACTAGATTCGTCCGGGCCAACCACAAGATGCCTGGTCAAAACACAACTTGCCACAGCCTATTAGGCACATTGTAATAGATTATGCAAAATATTTAAACCATCAGCTTTCGTATCGGCGGATTGAAATGTGCCTCAGGTGATAATCACAAAGTGCCCAATGACAATTTGGGTAGATTCAAAAACGAATGAGATTAAAAAGAGGGTGAAAAAATCTTGAAGTCTGAATTTTTAAAGTCATCAATGAATCATACGTACACATGATTCATTGAGCATGTTTAGGAAAAACACAAATATTAAATGTTGTATTGTGATTAAGAACCCTCCTTTCAAAAAAGCCTGTCCTTAAATTAAAGTAGGCGAAATTGATGAAGGAGATAGAAAAGAGGAAAAAGCTCAATATATTTTGTTCTACTGTACACTGATTTTAATTTTTATTATTATAAAGGTAAAACAATTTTAAACAAAACTAACAAAATGGAGTCTTTCATAAAATTATATCTGTTCAAACTTTTATAGAATGAAAGAAAACGTAAGATATAAAATAATAAAACATGGTTTTCTAAAAGGTAAATTGAATTACAGTTATAAACAATCTATACACTCCATGTAAAAAGTTTTTATCATCTTTTTCTTCCAAAGACTGAAGATAAATTTTTTAAATTCATCAATTTACAATCATTGTAAGGTAATTTAACAACTTCCCTCAAATATATAAGTTTTGGAAAGATTAAAAATACGTTCAACTTAGTTAGGAACGTTGAAGCAACTCAAAGTTCTTGCAACTTTGGCATGGGGGAAAAAATGAAATTTGACGACTGAGCATGTAAATTTCTGCTTCTAAAATTGCACTGCCTTAACTCATCTAGACTTGTAGGTAAGTAAAATCTTGATTGTATAATTGACACAACTTGCTTCAGTTAATCGTTAGTGATGCAGTTCTTGAATCTTGTCCACTATTTCTGGAATGATAATTAGATATCCAATGATGGTGTTTCAAAAATAAAAGAGCAAAAAAGATGCATAACTATCAAGCAGGTGGAATACGAGGTAAAGCAGAACGGCCCAGAGCTTCAGCTTTCAAATTCTTGCAATTTCCAGGTTTTACCTGACTGCTTACCTCCACCAATGATAAAATTTTTTGTTAATCATCATTCGGATCATTCCTATATCTCAGTGCTTCCAGTTTTAATAGGAGAGAAAAATAAAAGGAACAAAAAAATCAATATTTTCAACCATTTACAAACGTTTCTGGCTTTTTTTCCCCCTTTCATTCTGATTCCACCTTGATAGTGCTGCCAACAGTGCTTCCATGGGTACAAGTACATTATTGAAAATAATTGTTAATAATGGAATAATGTATAAAGGTTGATCCTTTAATCTAGAGAGAATGTACCTTGATCACTCTTAGGAAATTGTGAAATAATGACGAAAACAAACTTTCGAATAGTTATTTTAAGATAGACTGAGATATCTATAGCCAACATCAATATTTTTACTGTTGGGACAAAATTGTGTGTAATGTCAAATTGAAAAATTTGCTTTCTCTTACTTTCTAAGACAAAAGGAGATAACAAATGAGAAGATAAAAAGTTGAGTTGCTTGCACAGCTTGCAAGTATTTGAGAAAAACAATTTGTTTCAATAATAATACCTTCCTGCCTTAAAAAATAAATACGAAGATCTTACAGGTAAAAAATAAGCTTTCGAGGAAAACAAAACTAGGTTACATGATTGAAATACTAAATTTTAACTTTTTAAAGGAAGAGGAAGCTTTTTGAAAAGATGAGGAAACACCGTCAACGCTTGAACAATCAAAAATGATTGGAAAAGATTACAGACAGCAGAAAAGCTTGGCGGTTTTAATAGGCAGAACAACATAAGAAGTACAAGCTGAGTTTTAAATTTGTTCCTATTTTCTCATCTTCCAAAAAGTTTTAAGTCAAGAATAAAAATTCTGTGGAACAGTTTGCATTTTCAAATTTAATACTTGTAGAAAAATTGGAGAAGAATCCATAAATTTAAGTAAACATGTACTAAATTAAATTAGGGTCAAGACAGAAAATTGAGGTCTCCCTACTACATGAGGGGGTTACTACATGAGTTTTTGTGCCGTATTTAAAAAATTGAAGGCATATCCTTTTAAAAATTTCTAACAAACAATTTCTTAGGAATTAAGAACAGTCTTACAAAATTTCAATTTTTTCCTCTTTTGCTTTCTATGTGTGTGTTTTCAAAATGAGGTTGGTCGGACATGAAAAACAGAAAAAATTAAAGTGTTGCCAAGAAAAATATTTTAAAATCCGTCAGAGAATCTTCAGATCATATATGAATATATATGGTCAAAAGTTTGATTTCGGTACGAACTTTGTTGCGTCCTTACACAAAAAGCACGATAATCAATAAAAATTACAAAGGAGAAAGCAATGCAGTGCCTACTGGGCTCCACATAGTAAAAAAAAATTTAATAGATTCTTTTCCTGCTTGCAATAAAATTACACATAGTCTTGAAGAGATGAGAAACAAGATAAATCAATAGGCTCCCATAGCCTATCAAGCATCAAAAGTGCATTTCAAAAGTTAGAACAAATAACTGAAAATTGGAATACACTTGGTTTTCTTTTTTTGTTTGATTTTTTCTTTACAGCACCAATAATTCAAAATAATCCTTCACCGTCCACTGAAGAAGGACAGAACACTTAAGATTAATAATGATGATCATTTTTTGATGCCCCGTCTCTTTATTTGCAAGTTATCAGGGAGAGCAATGAAGGAAAAAATGGAGGAGAAACGAGAATCCCTCACAGCCAGAATTAAAAGGCATTCTCAAGAAAAAGCATCCTTTTATTTAATCATCTTTAAATTCAAATCTTATCATCAGTATCAATAAAGTCAGGGAAAAGTATGTTGCCCAACTCATTAAAACAGATTTTTTTTTCCTATGGTGTCGGAAGCTTATCAATGTCTGACAGCAATTTTATCATGGGGCAAAGAGAACTTATTGGAAAATCTGTAACAATAGGTTGGCAGCAAAAGAGAAAAAATACCGGCACAAACGGACAGCATAATTACTACTTTACATTTTCTAGGGAGGCTCATACGATTCTTCGATGACAGGGTAATTAAAAAGTAAAGTATAAACATTGTTTTTGGGCAGCAAAGCTAATAAAAATTTAAGTCTTGCTAAGCACAGCTGTAGTTTAACAAAAGGGTTAAGAACCTATAAAAACCGCATACCTATAACAATGAATATTGAGAGAAGAAAATTGCAAAAAGAGGAAAAAGTCTGCATGAAGGGCAGCTGACAAACTTTGTGTTCTGTTCCGGAAAAATTGAGACTCGTATTCTAAAGTCACTCATTCTCATCAATAAGTGAATGACCACAAATTCTGCAGGTGAAAGATTATAGCCTTTCATATATATCTATTGTTTATCCCACACACACTTAAGACCTCGGGAACTACTCAATTTCTGCAGCTTAAAATTACAATCATGCACCTTTGTTAATCATTGCTCCAAATAAGAAACATTTTGAGCTATCACCAGAGTCAAATGTAAATAAACAAGAACAAAGACCTGACAAGAAACAAAGAAACTATTCCACAAAAATCAAGAGTCAGCCTTTTCTTTCTCAATACAAAGTCATGATTCGCCTGAAAATGTAGGAGTTATGACAGTTGGGAAACAATTAACTGTCCATGCTCTGGCTAGTGTCAATTTCACTTGAAATGATTCATACAGGAAGAGAAGGAGGCATAGAGAAGAGTAGTAGTAATGATATTTGAAAAATGCAATGGAAAAACAGTAGCCCAATGGATCAAAAAGCTTGCTAACTCCTTTGCACAAATTAGCTCAAAAACAAGGAAGTTTCTTTCATGAGGAAAATAAAACTAGTTTCTCAAAAAAATTGGGGCTCGACTCAAATTAATTGTACTACAAAAGTCAAGGAGGGAGCAGAAGTGATCAAGAGTCTTACTGCTGGTGAGCTAGTTTTCAGAAACTAGTACAAGAGGTGAGTATTTGGAGATAACAGATGTGTCAGTTTCAACTAGAAAAAAATATATATAACATTTTAGTTATCTTTTGGTAGCATAGATACCCAGTTAAATATTCTTTCTGAACAAGAACTGATCATAGACTAGGTTTTGACAAATATGTAGGTAGTAAGTTGTGAATTAAAGTAAGACAAAAGATTCCCTACGTATAAGATGGCATCAACTTTTGTCTTTTTTCTGTTGATAATTTGACTGCACAGAGACGAGGCTAAACTTTGTGGACAGTTGCATTAATTGCGACAAATTGCATTAAATGTGACAAATATATGACATATTGTAGACAGGAGAGTTTTTTTGCCTGTGATAACAGACAATTCCTCATTTAAAGTATAATATAATGGAGATATAGAAGAAGAGTTGAAAGCTAAGCGCAATTCATTCTTTTTGGAGTTCTCATTATCTTTTCTACTGAAATAGATATTTGAAGACATTATCAAACTTTAGTGTTGCATGATAGGATTAATTAATTTTGGGTAAAACTGAGATATTCCTCTTATTTGAGCATTTTACTGAGACTAAGGCTACAGAAAATCTTTATCATGCCTGAAAGTGTATTTAAACCTCAAGTAAGCTTGTTGTGAAGCTGTAATTGACCTATGAGGCTTTTGGACTGCATATTATGAAAATGGTTGCCTGCTGGCTCGCGATAAGCCAGAGGGGCTTTAATTCTCGAAAAGTCTCAAATTGCTTGACATATTCTTTTGTGTTCTAAGTTGCAAGTGACGCTAAAGCAAATACCTACATTTACAGAAGTTGAAAAGATACATAATTCTAAAAAAAGCACAGTGGGCATTTTTATAAAGGAACTTGAATTATTTTTCTTTCTTTGAGTGTAATTGCAGTTCTCAAAATTTAGGACACTGACTTAAAATAGCTGTGTTCCAGAGTCTGATTGATTTCATCAGCAGGAAACAGAGACACAGGTAAGATAAAACAAAGATTGGAAAAAAATGATAAAAAGAGTGGTAAAAAAGACAATATTGGCCAAAATGAATACCATTATCAAAAGATAAAATTTCAAAATAAACTGACTAATCAGCACATAACGAGTTTCGATACAAAAACGAAGTTTCCTACTCGTTAATATCTTTCCACTTTATCAAGGTTCATATTGATTAAAAGTAATTCTGTACACAACTCGCTTCTTTTTTATTATTGTAATATTTACACAGTATTTACTCTGACGCAATTTTTTCTCACTTTGGTTTTAACTTGAAATATAAAACATTCACTTCAACTCACAATTGTGGGCAATTTACACCGATCTTTTAGATCATCTTACAGGAGAAAGGATTCTGAATCATCCAACAGGTGAGTTTGTGCACATACAAATTTTCAACAAAAACAACAGGATTCGCGACATGAACAATTCCAAGTTAAATATTAGGGATAAGATATTAAAAATTCTGCACCTTGAAGTAAACGTAGAAAAAGAAACGATACACATAGTCTTTAAAGCTGAAAATTTGAAATCGGTTTTCTAAATAGACAAAGAAAACATGATTACCACTGAACATTCAATAAGATACAATATTTTAAGAGATTTGTTAATTAATATTATTTAGAAAATTAAAAAAAAGAAGAAAAACTGAACAGAAATTAAGACACTTGACTATACAAACTCAAGAAGAATCTAAGCCCTTATTGCCGTTTATACAAGAAAAGAGTGATTCAAAGGGTCTAATCTTTTCCTCTGTAACCATATTCTTTTGTCCCTAACAAGAGATCCTTCTTAACAGACAACACGTCAACGTGGTATAACAGTAAATACGGGCTATGGTCCCGGGTAAAGAATTTAGACATGACTATATAATCAAAAGTTACATCAATTACTTTCTGCTTCATCATCTTCCTCGCCATCATCATCATCATCATCAGTGAGCTGTAGTCACAGTTTGAGTTCGTTGGCAATTTTTGAAGCGATGTTCTTGAACCCAATTGATGTTCCTGAGATGCGTTTGAAACGCACACCATTGAGGGACAACCGCGGTAGTTTGCAAACTTCAATTTCCCACTGAACTAAGGAGTCTGCCGTTGGGTCTCCATGAACGCATAGTAGCAGGAACCTTTCTCGCTGCTCATAATCACAATTATTTGCATCAAGCACCTGTGAAATTTTAAGTACATATTAAGTGAGAAATTTTTGTAGATTCAGAGCAAAATTATGGTGGTCAAAAATTCATTAACAAAATCCTCAAAAGGAGTCAAACTTTTCACTCCATTCAAATCAATTTCTATGATGCAAAAAATTATTCTCGCGAAAATGTCCATCAAACTAGTGTAGCCACGATTTTTTAATTTTTCTTTTTTTTCCTTTATGAAGTTGACTATGTACTAACCACAGGACAATCTATGATGAAAAAGAAATAGCCATGAGATAATATCTAACATAAAATTGAAATGCCTATGTGTTAATTTCTACAGCAAAACTGAAGTAGCCATGAGTTGAGATGAGCAACCATAGAAAAATGGAAATTTTGCTTCATTTAATGTTAGCATTCAAATGCTTAAGTGGTTCTTAGGATTTCGGACTTGATCCTTCACTTCTTAAAGCTTCCTCTGGTATATTTTGTCACTGTACAGACAAATTCTCTTTGTTTGAAGGAAGGAAAAAATTCATTTGCATTGAGGCTAAAATTAATATATGTATTTCTGAATAAATGGGATAAGAGGGTAACTCATGGCCCCTGTAACCCTCTAAAGATATTACCGACAGTTAGTAGCTTTATGCATTCTCTAGAAAACCTTGTACTTCCATATTATACAAGGCTATTCTAGAGACATGGGAATTGCACAGGTTAACGTTTTCAAATTGTGATCGAATTCAGAATTTTAAGGTGAGAAAGTAAAAACTAAATACATATAAATAGGTACCTTAGAGTACCAAGAATCAGATTAGCCGTTTTCTAGGAAACCACGTAAACAGCAAGATAAGCTTATTCAAAAGCTCAATTTAAAGGAAGTTTTCATGCAATATTATACTCTAAGTTTTTTTTCTTGATTAATGATTTAGTTTCTGCCATTGCGAACGCTGCACAAAATAATTTATTGACGCAACCAAAGCAAATAGAGGAGAGAAGTTACCTTTCTAATTTCAGCCATGATTTCGTTGGGATCCCTTGATGATGTTGTCTTCATGCTCCACGTGAATCTTAAAGAACGAGGTTTAACTTGTTCATCATTTACTGTACTACTGTTAACAGAATTAGGAAAATACAAAAATGAAATTTAATTTTGTATTTAATGTGTCATGAGGAAAAAACAAGAGAGTAGAGGCATTAAAAAATGCCTCTTTCGCTTGCAGAACAAAATTTTCAAGCTTGATGTAAAATAACATTTTGGCAGAGAGCTAGAATAAACTTTGTGTCAAGACAGTTGAACTATATATGATTTATTATCAAACAATGAATACTCACTGATGCCCTTACGCACATCAGCAAAGGCTCTTTGCCCAGCCTGATCCTATCGCTCTGTCATTCCTTACTCTCTATATAATACACTATCACCCCTTTTTTGCTAAACGTAGAGCAAAGAAAATATGCCCATTAGATGAGTTTAAAGATGAGAGAAAAAAATCATAACATAATAATAATAACAATAATTTCTTACAAAAGAAATGTGTTCAATTTGTTTGGTATTTTTCTATGAATATAAAATACTCAAAAAAAAAGGGTAACTTTTCCTAGAACAAAAATTGTCCACCTTCGTATGTTTTTTTACTTTGGTGAAAAGAGAAGACTATATAACTTCGAATAATGACTCCAAAGAAAAGCATAGAATAGAATAAATATCAAAAAAGAAAAAGAGGAAATGAGAAAAGTTAATACTTTTAAAATCAAAAGGGTATAAAATAAAAAAGGGGAGGGGTGAAACTTACTTAACTACATGTTTCGGACCAACTGGATCCATGGGTCTGAAAGAAATCAAACAAAACAAAAATAATTAAAAATAAAAAATAAATTAAAAAAAAGGAGAAAAAGAAGGAAGACAAAAAATGAAAATTGGAGGAGAAACATCAGATACTGAAATAATGAAAGGAAAGGATGAATGCTGGATGGATTGATACTGGAAAATTTTAAAAAAAAAAACATACCTAGATTCATTTTTCAATTATAACTGGATAATTGAGGATAATTAAAACAATCTAAAAGAGGAGGGAGAGAATCTAAAAAAAAGATTCACTGGCATTTGAGTTGGATGAGAATCGCTGATAATATTTTCTGAAAATAAGGTGCTGCGATTTTCTTTCTGCTCAAGCTTAGTTTTAAAAGAATTAAGACAGCAGAAAAAAGGGTCCTCTGACTGTAAATTACAATACTTGTTGTCCCTTAACCTAAAAGTAGAATTTTGCAGAGCAAAGAGGTGTAGTAGGAAGACCTTCATCAGCCATAATAAAAAGCTCCAAGAAAAAGTAGAGTAAGCCCGTGGCCTGGATATTTTGTTTCGGAAGAAAGCAACAGGATATGTAATTCAAATAAAATCCTAAAAAAATTAGTATGATACTATTGATTGTGATTAAATTTGTTTTCGAAGGTTAGAAAATTGTCAAAAATGTGAGCAAAAGCAGCATTCAAGTTTCTTAGCACCATGTTGAGCTTGAACAACAACAAAAAAAAATAAATAAATAAAGAGGCGATGCTTCATAAAATCAAAATCACGCAGTAAAAATCTGCCAGATTGAAATAGACTTTTCAGTAACTTTCAACTTCCGAAATAAAGAGAAATGATAATAAATTTTATTGGGGGGAAAAAGGTTTTCCTTCAATGATAATTATATGACTTTTTTGGGGCTGCCCCAAGAAGTAAGGGTTTCAGTTTCTGAGCTTTGAGTGTGCCAAGAAAGCTAATTTCTAAAACTATTGCAAAGCCACGACCTCAAAGGCCACAGGTTTAAGTCACGAAAATCAATAGATCCTTTTTTATCAACATAAAATTAGCATTTATTTAAATTATCAGTCATAACAAAATGGTAAAATAACATTTTTGCGCACATATGGAACAGATTGTGTATCAAATTATAGTAAGAGTAAAAACTATTAGATACAATTTACACATAGACAATTATGTATTTTTTGTTTGTTCTTTTGGAGCAAAGATTGTGAGCTTAGAATGTGATAAATTTTATTCTTAACGAAAATAAAGAAAAGGGAGGGGGAATTTAAGAAATTAACTAAATAAAGAAGACTAAAAGACTAAAAAGAAGGAAAAATGGATATGATTTTGTAAAAGAGAGATCAAAACCCTGTTGAGCTGCATAGACAATGACGTTATATGAAATATTAGAGGTCAATTTTGAGGAGGTTTTGTTCTCAGTGCCCTTCATACAACTGAAATCCTGCACTTTAAATATTGAGCAACTGAACGCGTGTCATAAATCAAAACTGTTCAACCTAAAAAAAAACTTTGAAAAAAAAAAAAATTTAATGATCTTTCTGGCCTGAATAATTTCCTTAATTTACACTTCTGCATTGAAAAGGAAAAACGTCTTGAGTGCAATGAACAGCTGGTGTAAAATTGACAAGGTGAGACCCAGACCACCATCTTGGGGGGCAAAAAGAGGCAAAACCACTCATAGAAATACCAGGTCTGAGTTAAGTTCGGAATAAATGGTTTGATGATCCATTCCATGAATCTTGATGCTTGCCCATCAACCAAGTCAAAGAGCTTTCTCCCTTAAAATACACGGTTTCAACCCACATAGGAGAGCCAAATGTTGTACTTCTTGCTACTAGCAGCAAGCCGATTTATGAAATTTTGTGTTTTTCAACTAGCCAAGATGAGACAGAGGTGAGATGGTATTATAAGATTGGTTGGCTTTGTCAGTCAATGTATTGATCTTGCCTGTGTTGGAGTGAAATCAATTATAATATAAGGATACCTCTAGAGTTGTCGATACCTTGTCGTTCATTCCACACCCCATTAAGACGATCAAAAAAGTCAACCAATCACAAAATTCCATTCCACCTCAGTCCAGTCTTGTCTACCTGGCAAACAAAGAATTTCAAAAATTGGCTCTAAGGCCCTGCTATCTCTTTTACAGCTTTAAAAAAAGAAAAGTACAATGGTAAAAGTATTAGAGGTCTTGATTCCTTGAAAAGGAGGTCTTTAAATGAATTATAAAATGAAATTGGACTACGTAAGGAGAAAATTCATCCATCAGCAAAGAGTTAGTTTCTTTACAAAAAGCAAAAGACGAAAGGCTTCAACTGAATAGCGATACATCAACAATTTACAATACATTTCATGCTATAAGTAAACGTATTAATTAATTCAACACCTCTTCCATACCATTTAGTGATGGCGTTGCAAGCAAGATGATTAATATGATTTGGGCTGGAGAGTTAGGACCAACAATATGGTCTTTAGATTAATAAAATAATCTTTCTTAGTTCATTGCTAAAAGCTCAATAAATAAACTACTCGTTTAGAGACTCAATTGATTCAAAACTTAATGCAAGATTTGGAATAACTTCTTGTTAGCACTCAAGTTCAACACAGCAACTTGCCACACCAGCACTAAATTAGGTATTTGTCTCACTCTTGTTCATCAACATTAGAAAAAATGCTTGCATTCAAGGGTCCAGCTTTAAACATGAAGCTGATAATGATACATGCACACAAAGACAAAATTGAGTGGAGAGGGGAGGAGAAGAGAGAAAAAAAATCAACTCCGGGTGCTTTTACAGGCTCTGCTTGAAATACCCTGCACAATCCTCATTTTTTGACGGGCTCTCTTTGTTTTGGGCAGAAAATTGGCACATGATATAATGCAATAAAAATGAATTTAAACTAGATAATTGCTACAATGCAAGTTAAACATAAGGCAACAACTTTTCTGAAATTAAAGCTGCAAAAAATCAAGGATTAAATATTCTATGTGTTTCATTGTTTTTCTGATCTTCTCCCTTTGCATCCCATTTAAAATAAGATACCGATTTTCCCAATTATTACCAGTTAGAAACATTTTTCCAGCCTTAATTCAGAGAAAGTTATTTTACAAATGGCATTAAAATTTCAGTATGATAGCTAGCACTACACTCTCATCTTAAGTTCAATATATTTGATAGACATGGTAAGCTGAAATATATTGTTGCTATGATGCTGGGTTACCCATATCATGGGCGCATTGTCATTATCATGCTGACATAATGCATTTCATTGTGATAACTACATTGAATTGCAGGGGCTAATTGACTAAATACAGAAAACAACAGTTTCTGGCAATTTTAACACACTAAAAACTAGGATCATGTCAAAATTCTTTCATGAAAATCAGTTTTAATGGAGGGATAGTACTAATTTTTTAACAGCCATTTAAACCACATTTTCGGAAACCTGCTTTATCCATTGAATTTACATGTTAGCCAGATGGCAGCAGCCCCATCAACCTTATCATTAATAAGCCATCATTAATGACGTTTAATGACTGGTTTGATCATCCTTGTGTTCTCCTCATACTGATGTAAACTTTGAAAGGTATGCTGAAGTTGGGAACACATACATTTGATGGAAGAAACGTTTACAGAATAAGAAAAATTGAGACACCCCAAGAGGATCTGCCCAAGCTTTGTTCCTTAAGTTCAATCTACTACAGATTTTGCTGCTATCCTTATCAAGATAGTAAATTCAGCTCCCTAAATTACAGCTTGCATTTTCAGGTCCTGTCATTTTTCACTAATTCACATGATTTTTTCTACAGATTGATGTGGTGGGAGAAAAAACCAAATTAATATGAGCTGTATTCTCTGAATAATTCTAAAGGACGTTATCTGCAAGCTCGTAAATCTGACCCATCACAATATTCTTGACACAATAATTCAACTGCAGGTTATTGCTTTACACTGTCATAAAGCGTAAAATTGTTTGAGAAGTATTATTCTTGAAGCAAAGGTTACCAGATTGAAGACCCTCTCCTGACCCACTCTGAAGGCTGTTTTACTTCCTACCTATCTATTAAAATAACGGAGCAGAGTCAAAAATTATATAAATCATCTCACACTTAGAACCACTTGAAAAATCTGACTTTCATGGATCAATGTTCTACTCAGTTTTTTTATAACGACCATAATTATTTATACATTACTGAGACTTGGAGATTCTGGTTATAATAAATAACGGAAAAAGAGATACAGGTGGTAAAAGATGCAATGCATTGCATTGTAAACCAAGCAGAGTCCATCTCTTAGCGATGAAAATTTTTAAATTTAGAGTTAAAAAAAGAGAGGAAGAAAGAAAAAAAAAACCAGCTGCAAAGAATAAGAATTTGGGGACCAAGTTGGGTGAATGGGAAGAATTGGAGCTATGTAATGTAGATTCTTGGTCTGCCATGGACAGGCATTCGATTCTAATTTTTTTTGTTCACAGTTTCTTCTCTGATTCCCTAAAAAATTCATAAAGAAAACCCAAGGAAAAAGAAAAAAAGAAGAAAAAAAACTACATAGGTACAAAATTATAGTCAACAGAGGAGGTTAAGGGTTGGAGCAAGATTTACTGAGCACCTTTCAGATAAAAAAGCTGTAATTAGGGTACCTTGATGACTTTTCCCTGTTTAATTATACTCCCTTAAAGCTAACGTGACTGAGCTATATACTATTTAGCAGTTAAGAAGTCATGATTTGTGTCATCTCATTTTGAAGCAAAACTATACATCATCTGCACGATTTAAAATACACTTAAGTGACACTAACCTTAGAAATCATTTCGAAAGGGTTTCCCCTACATGTAATGTAACTAACTTAGGTGACAGCAACCTTAGGCATTTTTTCGAAATGGTTTCCCCTGCATGTAATACAACTGACTATTTTGCTTAAATGCCCCCCTGACATAAAAAAAATTGTCCAATCATGTTGAACGCCACTGAAATTTTACAAGAGATTATTAATCATTAATGTGATATCCAGTTTTAAATCAGGC